CCCCCGGCCGGACGGAGGCGAGGCTCGCGGGGCTCGATCCACCTGTCTTTGTTTTTGGCGCTGCATGGTTGCTCTACGGAAGGGTGGATCGAAACTCATCTCGTGGTGGTGACACGTATAGTGTTCTGTACGATTGACGAGTATACGGCACCTGATGCTTCACGAGACGGCTACCGGGCCTCATTGGTCAAAAGGTGATGCCGGCTTACCGTCCTGCCTAGTAGGAGTTAATCTATACCGAGGTCCTTGATGAGATCCTCATCGCTCGGCATACGCTATTCGATATCATTTGCGGGGGACTCAAGCATCCCAGCATATTTGCACGAATCCTGATGGAACTCGAGAGTCGAGTTGAATGATTAAACCGGAGTAAATTCTGATGTTATGCACGTGACGGATTTCTGGAAACGCCAGCTTGGCGAAATATGGACTTTACACGCGACGCGACTATGGCGCCTTCAGTCATCAGCCAGAATATTTAGCAGAGTCAAAATGATAACACCTTTTTTTTTTTTTTTTTTTTTTTTTTTCCTGTAGAGGGCTCGCGTCGCTGAAGTAACCCGTAGCTATCCGCATTCCCATCCGCGCGAAGATAAACGTGACCTCTGTCATTTAGACGAGAATTAATACGGGCGTGAAAGACAGCATGTCATGAGCGTCCTTGCAGTTTAATCAGCAATTCTAGCTTTCTCCGTATATACTGGAAGAGAAAATTTATTTTGCTCTTGGGTGGCTGTGGTTTCATTTCTGAGGTGGTGCTTGATGAGGTTCTGGCATTCCCGCACTTAGCTTGGGCCTAGGTACCGGTATCAGTTGAGGACAGCTCGGAGCTATCGTCAGGGAACAGTACTGCGCGCACTATCCCACTTCACCGGTACCAGTCAGCCATTGCAGCCACACCGCGCCCTGTCGTATTCGGTCGCATCGAAGACTCAGTGACCTCTGCACCACTTCCTCGGATTCTCAAAGTTGCGGCGGCTCTGCAGGCCATCCAGCCGTCCCGATACCATGGCATCTTCTTCGAATCCGTACGAGCACTACCACCCGCCCCAAGTCGAGGACGATGACCTGATAGATCCCGACGACGGTATGCTCCCCCTCGCTCCCAGCGCGGAACTCCAGACGGTACAGAAGTCCGGCTAACCTCCCCCTCAGCCGACCTCGACGACCTCGACGACCCCCTTCAGCCCTCCAAGACACACTCCTCGCAAGCCCCCCTGGTATCCGGCAACATTACCAGCAGCGCCTCCTCCGCCCCCCTCAGCGAATCCTACCTCACATCCCGCATCCCCGGCGAGGACCGGCGCGCCCCCACCAACACCATCGACGAGTCCGTCTGGGACACGCTCCGCCGCGACCTGCTGGCCGTCTGGTCCAAGATGCGGGAGGTGCTGTACCCCAAGTACCTCTTTGGGGGCTCCATGCTCGAAGGCACCTCCTCCCTCCGCAGCGCCTACGAGAACATCCGCGGTGCGGGCATCAGCGGCGCCCGGAACGAGATTGTGGGACTGGCTGGCCGCGCGCTGGATGCCGAGACGTTGCTTGCGCAGGGGAACATGAGCGAGGGGTTACGGGACTGGGACCTGTGGGGGCCGTTGGTCTTCTGTCTGCTGTTGAGTCTGTTCTTGAGCTTCCGGGCGGACTCGGAGCAGAAGAGTCTGGTGTTCAGCGGGGTGTTTGCCATGGTGTGGATTGGGGAAGCGGTGGTGACGATGCAGATTAAGCTGCTGGGCGGGAACATGTTGGGTTTTTTTTTGTTTTTTTTTTTTTAACACCTTCTCCCACCCTCGCGCCTGGGTTTTGGTTCAGAGGGATGGGATTGGTAACACGGATGGCTAATATTGGATTACAGCTCCTTCGCCCAGAGCATCTGCATCATCGGCTACACGCTCTTCCCACTCGTCATCGCAGCTCTCCTCTCCGTCTTCAACCTCCCTACCGTAGCACGCATACCCATCTACATCGTCCTCGTCGCCTGGTCGCTAGCAGCCGGTGTCAGTATCCTGGGTGGGAGCGGCGTGGTCAAGAACCGGGTGGGCATAGCCGTGTATCCGCTCTTTGTATTCTACGTGGGACTCGGATGCCTCTGCTTCATCAGTTAAGGAAGCGCGGGGGCAGGGGGTGATGAGAAGTAGGGAAAATCCAGTCACCGACCCTTTTCTTTTCGAAGAAAAGCACCCGTCTTTTTTTGGTTTCTTCATCCTTCATCTTGGGACGGCCTAGCAAAGCCAGGCAAGGTGTTTCGGTGCGTTTGTTTCCAATATGTATGTGTGTGTATGTGTACTTTTAGGCAGAAAATCAAGCGGTTCCGGTTCTTGGAAGCGAAGCGAGGGAAACGAGGATATATATCTATATATCGTTTATTACTTATGATTGTTATTTATTATTTATCACGGCCGTTCTCACCTACTTACTCACTCACTCCCTTCCTCCCTCCTTCTTTCTACCTATTTACTTATTACGCATGCATGCATTAAGGGTAAGCGAGCAAGCCAGGTGTGATGTGATGTAGATTCTGTGTTCGTGTCCGGGACCTCCATCTCAAGCCGGTTGGAAGATTAAGATTTGATTGAGTCCCTTTTGGTTGGTGTCGTTTTTCGTTTTTCGATTCTCGATTTTCGATTCTCGATTCTCGTTTCTCGGTTTCTCGTTTCTCGGTTTATGGGTAGGAGTGTGTGTGTGTGTGTGTGCGTGTGTGTGAGTGTTCGTAGGAGTAGGAGTGAGAGTGGGAGTGAGAGTGGGAGTACCGGTCGGAGTAAGAGTGTGTAAATAAAGTCAAGTAAAGGTATGATTTGATTGATTGATTGATAGATAGATAGATAGAGAGATTGATAGATAGCCGTAGCTGTCACTAACTCTAGCCGTAGCTGTAACCATAACTATCACAATAGCTGCAGGTGTAACTAGAGCCGTAGCTGTGACTATAACGAGAGCTACAACTCCATCGGGAGATAAGTGAAAAGATGTATCCCTTCTCAAAATACCCCTCTCTCGTAATGACTCGCTCGCTGTCATCAAGATTTTTAGATTTGTAAATTTTTTAAATTTTTTTAAGAGCTTTGATGGCGGAAGGGAAAAGGCGAAAAGGCGAAAAGGCGAAAAGGCGAAAAGGCGAAAAGGCGAAAAGGCGAAAAGGCGAAAAGCTGTGAAGGTAGAGATGGAGACGGAGGTAAGGACGGGGCTAGAGACGGAGACGGAGACGGGAGGAGAGGTGATAATAGGCGTAAGGGGGGTTTTTTTTTTCTTCTTTTTTTTTCTCCCTGCTCTGAAATTTCGTTAGTTAGCTAGTTGGTTGGTTGGTTGGTTAGTTGGTTAGCCTAGTTAAGCCTAGTTAGTTAGCCTAGTTAGCCTAGCTAGTTAGCTAGCTGCGGGATTTGGATTTGGATTTGGATTTGGATTTGCTAAATCGTGCTAACTAGTTCTTTCTTTTCCTTTCTTTTCTTTTTTCTTTCTTCTCTCTTCTTTTTTCTTTTTTTAGAAGAAGAAATAAAGAAAGAAAGAAAGAAAGAATAAAATGTTTGTTTTCATATATAAATATATAAATATATATATATGTGTGTACCTATATGTACCTATATGTATGTATCTGTATATAGGCTAACGGCTAACTGGTAGGATACTTACCTACCTACCTTACTTACCTACCTACATACCTTACCTACCTACCTACCTACCTTACCTACCTAGCTACCTACCTAAGTAGGTTAACTTAGGTTAAGTATAAACAGAAGTAGATTTCATATTTAATCCATTTACCTGTCTACTTGTCCACTTGTTTTACCCCAGGAAAACACGAAAAAGAATTCACTGACGGCAGTTCCCAAGTCGAAGTGAGATGTTCGAACAGCGAAGGGAGTAAAAAGTCCACCTTCAATGGTAAACCGTAATAATACATCTCCTATCACACATCTGGTGCTCCCACAAGAGAGACCAGCTCACAAACCCCTCAAGTCCCACCCATCCACCCTAACGCCAAAAACGACCCTTGGTATCATGTCACGCGTCAAGCTCTATACACCGCTGCAAATTTACACCCCCGGCTTTTCAATGGAACAAGCTCCCACAGCCCCGTCACCAACGTACCACTCCTCACGACAGACTCAGGAACGTAGCCGCAATCCCCCCCTTATCATGCCTCACGTACTTCCCCTTCCCCTTGTCAACCTCATGATACCGATCCCAGAACCTGCAGTACAGAGGCTCAATCATCTGCTGCGCCTGCCGGCCCAGCATCTCCCTAACCTCGCGCTCCATGTTCATCGCCTTGTGCTTCAAAACCAGATCGTCGAAGCTTTGATTGAAGAGCGAAAACTTCTGCTTGATGACGTCTCTGTCCTTGCTGCTCAGGCCTTTGACGATAGCAGCTGAGTCGACGGTGTTGGCGGAGCCGGAGTGGGGCCGCTGCCCGCGGTTGGTGTACGTGACGTCCAAGAGGTGTGCTGATGGTTCGCGCCAGGCAGTCGCGTAGTAAGAGGCCCCTGTCTTGCGCCACTTCTCGATTTCGCCCATGCGAGACTGGAGGAGGGGCTGGAGTTCGGAGGTGCGGATCATACGATCAACGATTGTGGCGTTGTTGGCGATGAAGACGCCGAGAGGGGCTTTGCCTTTGAGCAGAGGTTTGGCTTTGGCTTCCAGAGAGCTGAGGAGCGTATCGATAGTGTCGATGCAATAGTTGGCGAATATTTCCTTGCCGTCGGCGCCGACGTCGAAGGAATTCAAGGAGGGGATTTGGTCGATGGAGGCGTTAGATGTTGCGGTCGATCTCCAGCCCTGGTCGCCGATGGAGACCATGATACTGGAAATTGGACGGAGAAAATCGATCATCGTCTGTAGGCGGGTCATCGTTTCTTGGGTGATGGGTACAGCGGCCGAGTCATGGGGTACTCCTGGCATTGCATTTATGCGGCGACGTGTATCCTCAAGTAACTCGGCGAGCGATGACTTTCCAGTCTCGCGAATAGGCTTCAATGCTGCAGCAAAAGATGGCTTCAGCTCCCCTGTCCTGCCGTCCAGGTCCGAGGATAGATTGGACATGATCTCGATGATCTCGTACGCGAGAAAACAGTCTGTAGGTAAGTTCGCCCTGATATGCGAGTTGAGTTCCCTGAGGGTCCTGGCGAGCTCAGATATGGCTCCCTGGCAAGTCAGATTGAAGACCTTTCCCCATTCGTCTCTGGAGAACAGGCCACAGATATTCTCGTATTCTGCCAAGAAAGAACCCGCCATACCTGTCGCATAGGTGCCCATGCCATTTGTTCCTTGCCGGTACACGGCATCTGGAGTCTTCTTCTTTGCGGTATTGAGAGATGCAGCAGCCAGATTTTGCAGAGTGGCTACAAGATAAGGGCCCCTGACATTTGCATATACTTGTAGCATGGGCGAATCTCGAGAAGACCCAGATTGTCTCGCAACGGAAGCGATGTGCTGATTGATCAGCCCCAGGGAAGTGGAATTGTCCTGCGAGAGCGTGGGAAAGGGCTTCTCCTTCGTGATGAAGTGGAGGGGTTCGATGGGCTTGGAGTCTTCCTGGAGAAGTCTCTGGAAGTGCTGCTCCAACTGCTCGTTTCCAAACTTCAGCAGTTTGGAGAGGTCTGCCACCGCTTGCTGGTTCGATCGGAGGTTTGTTTGCTTCAAGTCGGATAGTGCTTTGCTCAAGCGTTTGACAGAGCTCAAGAACAAGGCCAGGCCGACCTTCTCAGGCCTGGCGGAAAATTAGCCTTTGGTCTCCCAGATAGCAGTCAATTCATTCACTAACCCTTTCCTGATCACATCCTCCTCGTTGCTCTTGATGTCCGAGGGCTGGCGGATCTTCTCAATTGCTGAAATAATTCCATCGATATCTGCGAACGATCAGCACCATCCAACCCTTGGGCTCGCTATGACCGGACATACTTGTCCCCAGCACCTGCAGCTTCTGCGTGTTCCCGTAAATCGGGCCAATGGCCTCTTGCACACTCTTGCCGCTCAGCTCCAGCCTCGCCAACGAAGCAGCGAGTTTGGCGTTTAGGATGCGAGTCTTCTCGAGGCGGCTGTTGAGGACCTGGTATGGCAGTCAGTCAGCCAACCGTGCAGTAAGTAGCCTCATCCATCATCCTGCGCAAAGCAGTTTGCCCGAGAAAAGTCTCACCTCAACCTCAGCCCTCGCTTCCTCGTCGGCAGCCTGTCTTGTGCCCAGACCTACTGCCATGATCGAGTCCTGATACTTCGTAGACCAGATGGCGCGGCTGCCTCTGGCCATGGTGGGTTTCCACTGGGAAGTAAGTGAAGGAAAGCGGTGAGCGAATACTGCCGTGTGGGGATGTATGCTTCAGTTAAGGTACCTCCTAGCCGTTGTATTGTTGCATGAAGATCATCTCGGGATGATGTATAAGGCTAGGTAGGGAGGGACTTGTCGGCGTTTCGCACATTGTTCGGACGTTGTTGTTGTTGTTGTTGTTGTTGTTGTAGATACAAACGACGTTATTCACCTGCTCAGTTGCTCTTTCCCTTTCATTTCTGTGGCAGCCATATATATGGGTAGGCATTTCAATTTTGCGTAGCGTTTTTATTATTCGAATTCAAATCATGAGTCTGATTTTCGCTAAGACTGGCTACTCCGTAGAAAATAAAAGCAGCTGTAGTTTATTATGCGTTAACCATTAATCTGAGTATACACGAGTCAGGCTGAAGTGATTATGCTGAGCAGGTTACCTTGATACACACGCCTGTATCATGTGACCAACCGAGTCATCTTTCTTAGTAAGTAAATGGAGACTGACGTCGACGATAATCTTTCCACTCAGCTTACCTCAGTCTAGGTATAGGGCCAGTGTCATCGCCCTCTGTCTCTTGATGATCGCATGCTAATAGTAGTAGCCTTGACATCAGATTCGATTGTCCTAAACTCCGAAATGATCATTGACGCGGTTATGCGATACCCACAGGTATTAGTATCCAAGATCTGTTAGGGGCGGGCATTACTGCCGTGGTTGCGCGTCTTGACGCCGTCGTGAAGTTTAGAGGTTCTCACCAACCTTATCAGCTGCAAACGCTGGAGAGGGAGAAGCAGGTCTAGGAACGCCTGGGACACGATCACGAGGGCATTCTTCGATGTTATGGTAGCTTAGGAGACGCTCTGGTCTTACAATATGCATGCCATGGCTCCATACGACAGTTCAAAGAGAGTCGAGGCAAACATACTGCCGCGAGTGAGATCTTTGCTCTTGGAGCTACCTTCTACGAGATTATGGCAGGGAAGAAACCCTACGAAGGCTGGACCGATGAGGAAATCCTTATTGCAACAGGTCTAGGCGATAGTGGCCCATTGCTTGTTATAAATAGCGTTTAACTAACTAATCTTGATTCGTGGTTACACACCTTGTGGAAGCTTGGGTGGACTATGCGGGCAGGCGCCTGGTCTCGAGAAGCTCCCGATTCTGGAGAATCTCAACTGGTCATGGTAGGTGATACTGATGGGACCGGGAGAGTGCAAGCAGGTTGCAGGCCGTGTCTGGATGGGATGTATTAGCTCGGTAATATACGTTTTGCCTAGATATGACAGAACAGAGAGAGGGGCCAAGAGAGTTAGTTGCGTTGACTCTAAGGTAAGGATGGTTGGAAGGAATATATACTCCCCGATGTCTGAAGCGATTAGATTGTATGATGCGGCGCTAATGTCCCTTAGGTAACAACCACTTCTCTTCTTCTCTTCTTCGTCGTCCGTACTTGCCTTTCACCCGCACTGACTCTTATGCTTCATTCCATCTTTACGGAGTCATCTAATCTTCGTCGTTCCTCGTCCTGCTGTATCCAGACTTTGACAGGTCCAGTCTAGCCCGTCTCAGTCTAGCTCAGCCAAGCCCAGCCCCGCCCAGCCCTGGTCACTGGTCAGCCACAGTGGCGTCACCCGAAACTGGTTTTCCAAATCCCCTTGACTGCCAACATTTCCTTCTCTGCTCCTGGAGTCCCCAATTATTCGTCACACCTTCGTACTCCGGACCCCCATGTAGATTTCGTGCTTGCTTACTCGTGTCATGAAAAACTCAGTGACTTCCCCCTCCCCCAATTCCTCATGTCGCATTCAATGCTTCGCGGCGCATCGCCAACGTGGCCGGGAGGCTTCGTTCGCATTCTTCACCTTACCCACCCACAGTGCAACAGCACCATAAGAAGAGCCCGGCCATGGCACAAAGAAACCTTTTATAATCATCCAAATCATCCACGCTCGCTTTTCTCAAATTCAAAGAAGCGCTCGACCATGGCGACGCTGTCAAGGACTAGCCTGATCGGAATGACCGCTGTGGTTGTCGCCGGGAGCTTGACATATATCCTGTACCAAACAGACCAGCTGCAGCCTCTGCCTCCGACCCGATCACGCAGCGAGCTCCGCACCGAACGAGAGAAGCGGCAGGCGGTGCAAGCAAAAAAAGAGGACATCGCCAGAGAAAATGTCGACACCCTGGACGCTCTACCTTTCCAGGTGGATGGGAAGCCAGTGTCCCTAGACGATTCGGCTTGGGGGAGCTTCACGACGAAATTCGCCGTCTTCTCTACGGCAGCCAATTCCAAATGGGGCTCGGTGACGGAATCAATTCTGGATTTTGTGATGCCGGAGTGGGCGATGGTGCTGCCGGAAAATTTTAGTAAGCTGCAGAAGGAGATGTCGATGGCGCCTGGCTCCTTGGCAGATGAGATATGGCAGGAAGCACACGACCCTTATATCAATCCAGAGATTGAGTACTCGGCATCTGTGCGTGTCTCATCGGAGCTGTGTGAGGAAGAGGAGGAGTTTTTGAGGAAAAGGAGGCAGGTTACCAGGGTGGCTCTAGCGAAGTATTTGGGACTGCCAGAGGATGAAGTACACCCGGATGATGTACCCATTATTGCCATGGTCGGGTCTGGGGGAGGACTGAGAGCTTTGGTGGCTGGGACGGGGTCAATGTTGGCTGCAGGTGAGTCCGGCTTGTTTGACTGTGTCACTTACACGGCTGGTGTCAGTGGCTCTTGCTGGCTACAAGCGCTGTTCAATTCTTCACTGGGTGGTCAAAGCATGGAGAAGATGGTTGATCATCTAAAGGCGAGGCTTGGAGTCCACATTGCCTACCCTCCAGTCGCTCTCGCGGCCCTCAACTCTGCCCCTACGAATAAATTCCTCCTGGGGGGCTTCGTCGAGAAGCTCAAGGGAGACCCCAGTTCGGACTTTGGATTAGTAGATGTTTATGGGCTTTTGCTGGCAGCAAGACTGCTAGTCCCAAGGGGAGAAATTGGCGTTGATGACCGGGACTTGAAAATCTCACACCAGCGTGATTATATCAAGCACGGCGAACATCCAATGCCTATATACACAGCAGTCCGGCACGAGATACCTATCAGCGAAGAAGCTTCAGAGGAAGAGAAGCTTGCGGATACGCCGTCCGAAGAGACGAAGATCAGAGCCAAAACGGAGGCCTGGTTTCAATGGTTTGAGATCTCGCCATTCGAGATGTTTTGTGAAGAATTCGGAGCTGGTATCCCGACCTGGAGCATAGGCCGAAAGTTTGAGAACGGGAACGATTTGCCTCATGATGAGGATGGCAATAGGGTACCAGAACTCAGATTGCCGTTACTTCTCGGCGTGTTCGGGAGTGCATTTTGTGCTACGCTTTCGCACTACTATAAGGAGGTCCGGCCACTGCTGAGGGGTCTGGTGGGGTTTGGTGGCATCGATGGAATGATCGAAGGACGAAACAATGACTTGAGCAAAGTCCACCCAATCCTACCAGCTTCGATACCAAATTTTGTTTACAGGATGGAAGACAAGCTCCCCGAAACGGTACCTGAGAGCGTCTTTCAAAGCTCCCATCTACAATTAATGGATGCCGGTATGTCAAACAATCTGCCAATCTATCCCCTGCTACGCCCAGGACGGAATGTAGATATCCTCATCGCATTCGATGCCTCAGCAGATATCAAGACCGAAAACTGGCTATCGGTCGCTGACGGTTACGCCTGCCAACGTAACATCGTAGGATGGCCTATCGGAGCCGGCTGGCCCAAGCAAACCGATACAGCGGAGAAAGCCGCCGGCCAACTCGAAGAAGCACAGGCCGCCACTGTAGCCGAAGCCAATTCCAAAGTTGAAGACGCAAAAGCAGAGCAAGCCGACCACCTGAAGGACCTTGAAAAAAACGGTGGCCAAGCCTCAAACACCACAGACTCCAACGATGCTGGCGATTTGGGCCACTGCACGATCTGGGTCGGTCGGACGGAAGAGCGCTCTTCTGAGCCCGAAGACGTGAAATCCAAAGCCGTGAGAGAGGACTGGGAGTTGATGCAACCCGACGCTGGCATTGCAATTGTTTATTTCCCATTCATCAGCAATGAGAAGGTGCCCGGCGTGGATCCGGTGACGAGCGACTTTATGAGCACGTGGAACTTTGTGTATACCCCGGAGAATATCGACAGCGTGGTCGCGCTGGCCAAGGCGAATTTCGAGGAGGGGAAGGAGAGGACGAGGAGGTGCGTCCGAGCCGTTTACGAGAGGAAGAAGAAGCAGCGGGAGGAGCTTGAGGCCAGGGAGCACGAGGCGCGGTGGAGGAGGAAGGTGAGATTGGGGATTGTGGGGAAGAAGGGGGAAGGGGATCATTTTCACCTGACTTGACAGGAGGGGCCAGTCCGGTATTGATTTGGATATCGATGTTCTCCTCTGATTGGGTGAGTCGGATATTGGAGACACGCGAGGCTTTAAGGGCAGTCATTGGAGACGCACTGACTGAGCGTCGAACTTGGTCAAGACGCGAGATTTGAGAAAGGAGAGCCGTGCCGTCTCGTCACGCGACCCGGCTCGGAAGGACGGAAAGCCATGGAGGGCGTTTAATACGTAGCTAGCTGAGAGTCCAATTGCTCGGTAGCTGCCACGCAGCCCACGCACCAGCGCTGCTGTAACCGATCGCGGGTACGGCAACACCCGAGGAGGAAACTGGCGCCGAACCCCACTTATAGGAATAGAAAATAAAATATGATGGAAGTAGATTGGCCGAGATTGGATCTTCTATCGCCGATGTCTGTACTTCTGGTTGTGTGAAAATCCGGGGGATCCGCAGAGATTGTTTGGCAGTTGGGTAGATGATCTACTTTGTATTCTAATATTTTGGGATGGCGCGCTACTCGCCCGCTGGCTCGGGTCGGGTCGGCTTGGTTCGTTCGGTCTGGTGTGGGTGGATTGGATGGAAAAGGGGGGCTTTGACGAGTACCTGCGACATGTGTGAGGAATGATTGTTGACGGGCTATTCGGGGCTGAGTCCCGGGGGGTTGTCTCACTGTTTTATTCACATTTATTTACTTGACTTACCATGTGGAACAGGATAATTCGATATGGCTGTGCTGTTGGTCGAGGTACATGGGCAGGGCAGGGCAGGGCAGGGCTCTCCTCGCTTCACGAAAGGTTAAGTAGGTAACTGACCCAAGTACCCGAACGTTTGGCAATCGAGAATTCGGGATGCTTTACCCAGGAAATATAGTAGTACTACGTAGGTACTACTACGGATATTAAATCATCTCGGATGTTTATTAGATGATTCCTAGATTAAAACCAGGCATGCAGAGGCGGCGGCTGCGGCTGCGGCTACTGTAATACTATGTATGCATGGTTCTTGTTGCTCGGATACGCTTTGTGTGCTTTGTGTTGCATAGGGACTGTAGTAGAGTACTAGGTACCGTACTACTACCTATATCGCGGCATCTGGTGAGGGAGGCTATTCGCACCGACTCCTCCGTACCGTACCGCCCGTACCATAGCGTATCGTGTACGGAGGAAAGAAAAGGGGGCACCGCCGCCCCATTGCCCCATTGCCCCTCCGCCCCTCTGCCCCTCTGCCCCATCTGCCCCACCGCCCCACCTCGCTTTCTGCTCGGGCCAGCTTCTGCATTCTGCATTCTGCATTCAGCGTTTGGCGATGCTTTTGCCCCATCAACTCTGTTTCGAACTCGGATGCTTCGACTTCTGCATCCATTTCTTGAATATATAGCTCGATGTTTCCTCCCTCACCACCCTGCTGCATCGGCGGAATGCGTGATCTCCGCCTCTTCTCAATACACACACACACACTCTCACACACACACATTCGTTTGGTCTGACGGTGGTGCTACCATCACGCTCGTTCAACTGATATCTGACGGAATCCGTGCCTCCCCCTTGTCGGTCAGCACAAGAAAAAGGATAAAGGGTGAAGCACAAAGGATACAGGATAGAGGATATTGGCCAGCACAATCCGCTCTATCTTCTCGACCTCCTATTTCTTCGACAACTTACTCGCTCTTTTGCGCCTTTGCAACCATGCTTTTTCCTACCAAGTCGCACCTCAAGAGAGAGTCCAAGGCCGTTGACAAGCCCATGACGCCGCCAATCGCATTCCGGCCGCCCATGTTCTTCTCGTCGTCCTTCTCCGGCGACGAAGATGAAGACGACGAGGACGACGGAGACGATGAAGCCTACTTTTCCAAAACCTACGTCCCGCTGTCGAGTCTCCCCACACCACCGCCCTCCTGCCACTCCCTTGCCAGCTCCCGCCAGCAGTCTCCCGACCTCCATTTCGCCGCTGGAGAAATGCTCGATCCTAGGCTGCTCGGTAAGCCCACGCCCCTCCGCCCCCTTTAAAGCCCTGCGCTATACAACTTCGTATCCCTTTTCAAGAGACACTCAGGCTAATCAAATATACGATACCCAGGCCCAGCATGCCACCTCACGAATCTGATCCCGCCTTCAACCTCCCTAATCACCCCCTCCGTCCTACTCGTCCATGCCATCCTCACCCGGGCCGCCTTACCCCTTGAGACTCTCGCTTTGGCCGTCTGCATCCTGGATTCCCTCACTTCTCGCTTCGCCCTCTCCTGGCGCAAATCCCTCCCTCTCACCGTCCACCACCTGCCCCCCGCCTTTGGGACCACCAACTCCCTCGTCCCCATCGCCGAGCAGCACACCGACGCCGTGCAGCCCGAGCTCATCGTCCTCTGCGCCCTGATCCTCGCCGTGAAGTTTCTTGACGACAGGCAGCAACGCACGAAGGAGTACGCGAGCCTGTGGGGGAGCAACGCCTGGACCTGCGATCAGGTAAATTACACCCAGAGGGTTATACTGGAGAATCTCGGGTATAGGCTCCTGCCGCTGTGGGAGCAAGGTATCATTGCCGAGGCGGTGGGGGATATGGAACGCGCGGGGCGGCAGTATAGGGAGTCTGACGGTCACTTCGACACGGAGACGAAGGGCAGGAAAGCTGTCCCGGGACTCGGAGCGCAGCTCACGCCTGCTAAGGCTGCGAAGGCGGAAAATACCCGGGACCCGAGGGAAGAAGAGGGAGGAAGGTGTTATTTCCGCGGCCATGGCCAAGATGGCGTCGGGGACGCCTGGGTGCAGCCAATGCCGGATAGGACGGCTGTGAGCACAGAGCCGTTCCCGGTCTATGTCGAGCCGAACGTGACGTTTCCGATTTCATGATGATGGTTTAATGATCTTGGGTGTTTTTGAGTGGGGGGAGCTTGTATATGGGTTTTTGTTGCTGCTGCATTAGCGAGGCGTTTTATACCAGACTACTTATATCCGTACGTACATAGCCAAAGGGCGCATACTTCTGAAACCAACAGTGACTTTTATATCCAGTCCCTTTATCTACAGGCAAGATGTCACGAAGTGACACATTCTTCAGACAGCTTGGGTCTTAACCTACGGTTCATGAACCGTCCCGTCTATCCTCGGCTCAGTCTTCTTCTCCCCGTCGCTTTCGCTACTTCTTTCGCGGAGCTCACTCTGATCGTCTCTCTCTCGGACGCTGATCGTGAGCTGGGAGCGCGCTCGTTGAAGTGTATCTAAAGTGGAAAGCTGTATTCTATATTCTAGCTACTCTCTTGCGCGCGCGCGGGCGCGCGGACCTCTGCTCTTTTACTTGGGTAGGTAGGTAGGTAGGTAGGTAGGTATGTATGTAGGTATGTAGGTAGGTATGTAGGTAGGTATGTAGGTAGGTATGTATATGTATATGTATACATACATGTATAGATACGTAGATACAGTACTCGGTACCGAATGGACTTTGCTAATTGCATGAGAAGCCCCCCCGCCTCCTTTTTATATATATCTCTCTCTCTCTCTCTTTTTTATGCTGTTTGCTTTTTTAGAGGGGATGTTTTGGATGGGTTTGGTTTGGTTTGGTTTTGGGGGTGGGAGGGGGGATGGGTTTTGATGGGTCTGGGGCGAGGTGATGAGAGGTTTTCTGGTTTTT